AAAAAAAAAAAAAAAAAAAAAAAAAAAGAAAGAAATAACACTCGAACGAACATCAACTTTGACATAAATCTCGAGAGAAGAACAAACGTGGTTATAACCGATACGATTACTCGAAGCAGCAACGGAACAGAAGCAAAGAAGCGTAAACGTCAGAGGAGGGGGTGGGGAGACGATAGAATAAGCACGGGAGGAGGGGAAGAAGCCATGCATGACGACAACGTCTTATGACAGCCACGAGTCATAACGCTCTCTTGCAACTCGAGGCGCATACGTAATCGCGTATAAGGCGGCAAATCCATGCTAAGCGATCGACTATTCTCCCTCTCCATGGGCTTATTGTTCATCGTTGTTCGCTATTCAAACGTATGTGCACGAACCGTCGCGATCGGATCGATAAACACCGACGGTGGCGTCTGTTCATTCATGACTCGATGCGCTTCACCAGGATATCGTTTTTTTTTTTTCCACCCTTCGTCATCAAGAGGCAACCCCTTTTTGAAAAAAAGGGGCTTTCCTCCGTCGGTGCACGGACGCGAACGTATTCATTGGCGCGAGGTTCGAAGAGTTTCAATTAATTTATTTCCAATTAAACGAAATAAGTTTTTTCTCACTTGCCAGAATCTTTGTTTATTAGACTTTGATAGAAGTGATAATAAAGTTTTTCAAAGCTTTGTAATTTTTCTCGATAATTTTCACTCGTAACTCATATGAGTATAGTATGCGTGTATGTCAGTGTACGAAACTGAAGGTTTTAACCTCTCGCGCTGGAATGAACATGCCAATTTTCTGTTCCAAAATTGCTATATTTTCTCAGTTTTAAATATATTCAAATATAACCCAGGCAAAACAAATAATAAATTTATTACTTCTCAGTAACAATTTCTATCTATATAGTGATATCACACCGGACGAGTTCAAAAAGAAAGCGACGACTTATTGTATACGGTTTGGTCACTCGTTATGGTCCGCGAACCAGTTGCCAGTGCAAGGGGTTAAAATCTTGATTTGAAGGTTAGGATTTTACGCGACAAAATAAATTGCAATATTTTCTTAGTTTTAACTGCATTCCAATATAACTCAGATAAAACGAAAATT